CAGTCGTCCGGGTTGCCCACCATCTGGACCAACCGTGTATACACGACCTTATCAGGAAGAGGAAGGGAGGACAAATCAATCATATATTGTCAAAAGACCATTTATTATAATTAACTTTATAATGACTTCATGAGTGAAGATAGGAAACACACATAAACCAACACCCTTGGTATAGCAAATTAGTAAACTACATTGGATAAAATATCCATGATTTATGAACTATGAATATTGACGATTTTAATAATCTAGATATTCGTACATCATTTGCAAGGACCGGTCTCAAACCCGGTTTTGTGCACCTCTAAGTGGTACAAATGAAAGGATTTCATCCTTTGGTGTTAATGAATGGCCTTATACCCTTCCGATTATGACAACTCTCCCTATCCCTTATTCTATGTTGACGTTACATAACCACCATATTCCTTTTTTCATACCTTCCTTTTTATCTTTTTGGGACATTAGTATTTGGAGACAATGGTTTCAGATTCAATATTTGTTTTTTGGCTATCATTGCTAATTGCACTCAAGCTGTTACCACTGGAAACATGGAGATCTTTTTTTAAAGTAGTTTAGTTAATTGCTTACATCTGCAGAAGTTTAATACAAATGCAACACACGCAAACAATGGGTTATGAAGTCGATCAATTTCAACTAAATAAATTAGTTTTACAACATATCATATCACTACTAACTACTAAACTCTAAACTATGGTCCATATTAAATCGAAAATACATAAAAAAGAAAGTATAAAATTGTAACGACCTTTTTCCTTTCCAAGAAATTGCATAATATACTAAATCGTCGTATACATTTTTTCAAAATTATTTAAAAGGTGTGGTGGGAAAATCACTTTACTTGATTTGATTTGATAGAAAAATTAGGTCAAGGAACTAAAGTAGGCAACAAAAGGAAGAAAGAAAATGCACATTTTCTTTTATTTTTCCAAATTTCTTTAATTCCATTTTTTTGTCGTTTGATATTTAAATATTGTGTATTTTATTGTATATGATATGAGGAGAAACTTTACTCCGACATGTAAAAACCCCCCAATAAAGTCAAACAAAATAATGACTCTTTTTATATAGTGGATGTCAACAAAATTAAAAATAAAGAAAAAGAGTCCCCAAATCATGAGTGATTGTTACATTCACGATGTTCTATATTAACGACCTCTATTTATCCTGTAATTAACACAACACAATACGTAGGGGTCGAAATGTACCTAGCAATATAAGAATATGGAGATGCACATGCATACGTGTGAAGACCATATATGAACGTAAAATCAAACAAAGAAAACAAATTTATAAAATACCATATGCAACATACTTACAACATCAACTATCAACAATCGTCTTCCATTGGGGTTAGAGAAAACTGTGTCACAGTGATCACCTCCATCTGAAAAAAGAATCCGTTGTGTGATTCTTCTTGCTAAATTAGGGTTGTCTTTTTGACAGGACCTCTCAAGTAAAACAATTAGTTCTTGAGCAAACCGGACATTTGTTATTGTACTTGTATAGAAAGTATATATCATATATGCAACGCACTTAATAGGACATATTTACAAATGAGAAACATCTTACACGAATTTCATATGTTTCCAAATTCATTAATAGAAAGGGAAATATAACTATTTACCGAATCAAACAGAATATTGAATAAACAGTAAAATTATATTTTTAAATTTCCAATACAAGTTATCAAAAAAGGGCTTCATATTACTAATATAAAAATATAGAGAAGATATGAGAGAACAGGAGACTTGTTACGCATCGCCTTGAACAATCGAGAATGTGACGTCAAATATCATAACTACATGTGTACCTTAACATCCCTAATATATATATATATATATATATATATATATATATATATATATATATATATATATATATATAAATATTTAGGTTCAGGTTCATTTGAAACCATGCTAATTTTGTGAGACCGTGATTCATATGTGAGTTACAGGTGAATCCTATGTGATTCATGTGTGAATTACATGTGATTTACATGCGAATCACATGTGATTCATATGTGACTTACTTGTGATTTACATGTGAATTACACGTGATTTACATGTGATTTACATGCGAATCACATGTGATTCGCATGTAAATCACATGTAATTCACATATGAATCACATGTAATTTATATGTGAATCACATGTAATTTATATGTTAATTACATGGTTAATTACAATATGATGGTTAACGAATTACAAGGACTTCAGTTGAATATGGATTTTGGAACAATTCCAAGGCTAAAACTAGACGTTGTGGAGTTACAGATAGGATCATATTGGTTCAATATTGCATAAAATTTACCAAACGTTGAATATGTTTTGCATTTTACAAGTATAATAGTTAATTTGCAACAAAATCACAAGTATAAGATTGATGGTGAACATGGAGTATTTAGACAAATTCAACAAAAATCATCAGTCAAATGAATTGTACAATAACATAGTAAACATTCTCAATCCACTTAACTATTTAATATCTATATTTCCAGTATACGAAAAACAGATAACAGAATATATATATAAGCAAAGCACATAATAAAATCAAGCTTAATCATTGAGAAAAATGCTTGCTTTTACAATAACAACTAAACAACAAAAGTCAGGACGATGGACTACAATTCCATTTCCTATAACACACATAGTATCCTCGTTGAGAATCATTAAAAGAAACAAGATGAAGCATGAATTTCTTGACTTCAGAGAGATAGTATGTCCGACGTTAGATATTCCCTAAGATATTTAAGACCATTAAAATGAAGGGAGCTTACTTTAGATGCATAACATCAAAATATAAATTTATGTATCTAAAATCAAACATTTTGTAAAGAAATTGAGGAGTGGAAGTGTAACGCGCCGATTTTCAGGTATTGATTTAAATGAAAGTTTATTTGGTTTTAAGATCTACTCGACGAGTTGGTTGCCCTACTCGTCGAGTAGCAGTGGGGTGGGATCGCGTGTTTAGTGGCCTACTCGCCGAGTCCATAAAGAACTTGACGAGTAGGAGCTGGCAGACGAAACCCTAGATCCCGGGGTTTTGAACACTATTTAAGGAAGCATAAGCCTCCTTTGGCCTCTTTATAGTCCTTGAGAGCTCAAAAAACCCTAATTCGTGTGGTGCTTCATCCTTGTGTGTCTTAAGCTTTGGAAAGGAGGTTTTTGGAAAGGAAGAACTTGGAGGGCAAGAGACTAAGAGCAAGGAAGGCGTGGGAATCAGAAATCTATCTCAGTTAGCATCATTTGGAGGTATCAAGTCGTCACCTTTACTTCATTTCCCTTCTAACCTCATTTGGTTGAAATTTAGGGTTTTTATGGTTTGATTGAGATGATGGTGTGGCATATGAGGTAGATTTGAATTTGTTACTTCAGATCTGGACCCTCCTTGGGTTCTAGAGTCATAAAGCTTTGAGCTTGGTCATGTATGAAGCCTCCATGAGTATGAAACCCCCATTGTGAGATTGGATTTGACATTAAGAGCCTTTTAGCCATGCATGCACATAAAGTTTGCAACTTTACGTGAAATGCATGCCTTAGAAGCTTGGATCTATAATTTGGAGCCACTGCATGGCTTAAAAGAGTCTGTATGGCTTAAGGACTGAAGGAAATCGGTGAGTCGCATGGTCGACTCGGTGAGTCATATAAAGATAGGAATGGACCCGACGAGTTGTATGAACAACTCGGCGAGTCTGATGAAGATTGCCATATAACTCGACGAGTTGTATGAACAACTCGACGAGTCGGTTGGGGTTTCCCCATATTATGTATGCGTGTATAACCGTCGAGTTGCATGAAGGAACCCGACGAGTGACCTTAGGGTTTTCGATCGTAAATCAAGGGACCTCGATGGGTCACTCCGTTGACTCGGCGAGTGGACAAGTACTTTAAGGAACTCAGTAAGTAGCCGAGGGTACTCAGCGAGTTAGGGTCAACTTGGATTGTTGACCTTGACTGATGACTTTGACTTAGACCAAGGTTTGATTAGTTGGCTGTTGGGGTACCTTGAAAGGTTGGGAACTTATGGGTATGATTATATTATGGTAATAGGTGGTGGAGTTTTGACAGTGATCTGAGGGTTGGGATTCATCTACCGAGTCGACATCTGCAAGCTGGGTTATCCTCACTATATCAATAGGGTCTATGGCACCAAGGCCAGCCCTTTAAGTTGTTATTGTTATGGTGCGCTACATGTGGTTATGACTATTAAATCGGAATTAGGATAGACAATATATTATGCTCTTATGATCCGTAGGGATTGGTATGTTAGTGACCTGCAAGGTCGGTGCTCTAGTTACGAGAGATTTCTATGATTGATAATCAATGAGATAGATATGTTTGATGTTGTATATGCCAGTATATGATAGTTATACGCAATTGGTTATTTGCTTGTTGGTTGGGTTAAGGCGGTTCAACTTTGTGATGAAGGCCAACATACTTTATGAGCGGTCCGGGGAGGCTGTAGGCCCATGTGGTGGTCCAGTCATGCCGAAGGGTCGGGATAGGATCATATAGACTATAGGCCTTGCAGGGTGGTCCAGTCAGGCCAATGACCCAATATGCATGTTATTGATTGTCTGTTACTGATATGGAGTTATCAGGGTGGTATTGGTATTTTGGGGGTAGCTCACTAAGCCCTCGGGCTTACAGTTTTCAATTTATTGTTTCAGGTACTTCAGGAGATCATGGCAAGGCGAAGGCGTGACCGTACTGCTCCTCATCCTTTTAATCTAGTTATTGGGACACTCTAATGAATAATGATTTGAAAACATTTTGTAAACAAATAATATTTGGTTTTATTTATGACTGAAAAAGTTTAAATTTAGCGTAAAATTTTGGATGTGACAGGAAGGCACCTGACAACGAGGAATAACATCGAAGTGATTTCCAATATGTTAACGAGCTTGCTTTAGCCTTCATGCCCCCACCGACAACCATACACTCCCAATACCTAGCCTAATGAATAGATTCAACTCAGTATTTCACCCTTCCTTTCTTCCAGGGTTACTTTCAGGGAAGCCGAACATGAAATTGTCTAAGTATTCCGTTGAGAGACCTGAACACGTTCGTGACCTAAAGGCGTAGACGATGACTGTGTTGACTGGAGATTCGTCGTGACGTCGTCGAACAGTGGTGCTTTTGGGGGAAACGAATTGACGTGAGAGAGAAGCAACTGTGGTGGTTTGGACTAGGTTAGGATCAGAGGCGTAACACTTCGTTCCACAACCACCGGAATTGAACGACGCTTCTAGAGTCGAAAACTCATAGTTGACCTCAGAAAAGAGAATCAGAGTTCCAATGAAGCAATGACGATAGTTAAGGACAGATTCCGATGGCAGAGCGTGAAGCGTGCAGAATGAAGATGTGTGTGTGTGATAAATGGAGTCGATGAGGAAAAGATTCAAAATGTTTTTTTCTTAATTAATTAAATTGGTTATTAGGATATGATATATTTTATGTCCAATATATCCCTCTTAGCATTTTTAAAAAGTCTAAGATACCATTAAAATTATTGATAATTACAAATCTGTCATTTTTCATCTAGACCATTAAAATTTTTGATCTAACGTTCCACTTTTAGTTCTCGGGTTCTCAGAAAACTATAGGTTCTCAAATAATCATTCCACCCCCCCACCCTCTATCTATCTATCTATATATATATATATATATATATATATATATATATATATATATATATATATATATATATATATATATATATATATATATAAAACTAGGTTCAAATGTTTCTCACATCTATTGTGTGCTAGAATACTCCAATAAGAGTTTAGTAAAATTAAATTATTATTTACTAAATTCTTATTGGAGTATTCTAGCACACAATAGATGTGATAAAACATTTGAACCTAGTTCTATATATATATATATATATATATATATATACAGTCCGGTTCCAGTGAGAACTCAAAAAATGATAAGAATTGCAAGGATAAGTCTCCACGACCTATTTCGTCAAGGACACAAACGTCAAACCAAATACTACAAATTTGAGGATACTAGTGTTTTACTTTATTTTTGTTTTTATTTTTTTATTTATTTTTGATTTTTTAAATTAAATATCGGTTTGGATTTTTAATGTTTAAGAATTATAAAATTTTAAGTAAGAAGAATATTAATAATCATAATATTTTCCGTTCATACATTTTTTGAATCACGTTGTTTTGGATCATAAAAATTTTTGAATCATATTATTTTGAATCAAATCATTTTTGGATCATATGATTTTAGATCAATAATATATTCAATTAAATAATGTTTTTTCATATGGTTTTTTGGAGATTTTTTTGGACTCCACATATATATGACATGATATCAGAGTCGACATTGTGCAACACCGTCACTTGAGACATTATTGTATATCCCTATCAAATCTTGGTCGGGTGTTATAGATATCACTATATTTAAATAGATATTTAGTATGATATCTTAACATTTTGAGTTGTGTTTTGATGTAAATTGAGATATATGATACTTATAATGTTTGAAATTGATATATTGTAAGTAAATAGAGGTATTGGGGAGAAAGTATGAAAGCATAAATATGTGATGCGGAAGTTGAAGACTTAGGGGAAAACATAGATTCTCTGTTTACGCGATAGGCCCACTTGCCTTAAGCGGCGCATGTTTCGACATATTTTTAATTCTATAAATAGAGATACAAATTACACGTAATGAGTATCCAACAAGCAATATCCATTTTTTGGGGACCAGAAGCCATTCATAGGCGATTTCAAGGCTATAGATGCGATTTGGAGCAAAGATCTAAATGATCGGAAGTTAAATCATCCAAGAATCGTTCGGTTTGCTAAATCTAATATGTCTAGCGTACTTTTAATTATTTCTTTGTGTTGTATGTTTATGATTATAAACTAAAAACTCTTTGCTTTCACTTTGAGTAGATAAACCCTTAGGTTTTTGTTAGATTTATATGGTTTAGATATTTAGAGCTCTTTAATTTATCATGTTTGATTGATCAAAGATTCATATGTGTTAAAGTTTGTATTAGTATCGCATAATGTTAAGTAAATATAGTCTAAATGACCAACTTGAGTGTGTTTGTTTGAATCATAATTGTCTTATGATCATTAGACTCTTATGATTAGCGATAGACCAAATCTCAATGTTAGGTTAATAAAATAATAAACTTTAATTTGTATGAATTGTGTATGATATGTAACTAACTGATTTAAATGACCATTAAGATCAATAAAGTTCAAATCTTGCACAATACGAACTAAAGACTAATAATAGAGAAATTAATTTCTTTACCAATGAGTTAATATCCTTAGAATCACTAGCGTTAGAATTTGACCAAATAACCACATTAAGAATCGGTGAACGACAACTAATATCTATTGCACTTCATAAAATCAACTATAACTGATAGGGATAATCGAATGTGACAGTACTTTATTATTTTTGTTTTCAAATCTAATTGTTTGGTTTTCTCGTGTTTACTGATTTAGTTTCCTAGTTAAACAAGTTTCAAATTTTAATTACTGTTTTTTAGTTTAATTTGCATCTAAATATATATTCTAAATTGAGGCTCTATTTGATTTGGATCTGACTGGGTCAGGTCAGACAAAAATGTCTGACTCGGTCAGCTCCATGTGTTTGATATGCCTCAGTTTTGCATCTAACTGGGTCAACAATGTGTGACTCGCTCATACCCAAAACAATTGCTGATTGAATATGATTGAAATTCATTCCACCATTGCCCCTGCACCACCCTCATCCTCCTTCCTCAACCATCAATTTAATCCCTGGAAAGGGAAAATGAAACTAGAAAACAGGCTCATAAAAAAAAGGATATACGAACAGAGGCTATATATGATCAGGGGAAGAAGACAACTCAAAATTGAAATTAAGCAGTTTGGTCTTTGAAGATACCCATCTTGACCGAATCTACCACGACTTTAAATTGTCTTACATAACTAATTTATGGAAATAACTAGTTAGACCCTGAACTTTTGTAATCAATTATTATTATTATTATTATTATTATTATTATTATTATTATTTACTTATACAATTTATTATTATTATTATTATTATTATTATTATTATCCATCACTAGAGCATCAGGTAAAATGATCATTTTGCATCAGTCAGCACATTCAGTCAGATGTATAATCAAATAGAATGGTTTCTTACTTAGTCAGAATTTATTACTCAGAGTCTCAGACAGACATTTCACAGTCAGCATTTTCTCAGTCACCAACTATCAAACGGGGCCTGAATCATAGCTTTTCCCCATAATTACCGTTTTTTAGTATAATTTTCACTTTGTATCATAATTAGTTATTTCATTTTATTGAACAACAGATATTATTGAAAAAAAAACTAACAAAATGCTAAAGAATTACATGAAAGTTATAGAAAAGTTCTGTAACCACTCATATTAAACAAACAAAAATAAGATTGTGAAACAATTTCGTAAAAAATGGCATCTTTTCGATGCTTTTCCAATCCGAAAAGTATGGCATTCATGTAAGACAAAATCGCCCGTCAAGAGGGTTAAAATGAATGCATCTAAACTTTGTTGATGCACTCTGTTAAGGCCTGCAACCCCAACCACCGAAGCATATCTGGACATGTAGTGAAATGAGGGATGTTTAATTCCAATATCTTTCCATGAGGTCCCAAATGGTAGATATTCGACAAGTGATAAAAGAATGGTTAATGCCTCCATATATATGAGAATCATTGATTGAGCAAAATAAACCAATTATTTAATATCATTATTGACAATTGATTTTAGGTTCATAAGACTTTATTTTGTTAGGACATCTTCAATTTAATACCATCTATTCCATGTTTTGCATTATTTCCTATATTATTTTGCTCCAATCCAACCGTATTTCTTATATCGATTGGTTAAAAGACTAATATAATATCAAATTTGATTTTAAATTATTATTATTTTACATCATAATGACATTCAACTTCCATGTATCAATTTTGATATTTCAAGTTTTAGGTTTATACATTTTAGTTTATTTAGATTGTATATTTATATTTTAAAAGTAAATATTATTACTTGTAATATTATGTTTTTTGAATCAGCAAATCTAATCTACTCTTAAGTTAACACCTAATTACATTTATGTTCATGACGAAACTTGACCTATCAACCTGAAAAAGTGATGACACAACCTAATACTGCTAGTTAGAAACATATATCAAAATGGCATCAATCAATAATATATTTTAAACATAATCCTTTTATTTCAAATTTATTTAAAAATATAAATACTTTTTAATAATTTAAAACATATAACATATTTAAATCAAAACTTAAAATTGGCATATTTTACAATATCATTATTATAATAATGCATGAACATATACAATACTAGTAATTTAATAAAAACTGATATAAAAAAATTAAGAAGCTAATAAAGACATAAGATATTTTTGAAAAAACATAGATAAATTACAAAAATAAATATACATATTTTTTTACCGCAAACCAGCATAAATGTGAAGTATATGGGATTTGATTCTAAGACCTGCTCCCTTTTAGAAAATATATACTAGCAAATATACTTTTTACTATAAGTCATAGTTTAATAAGTAAGGAATCTTTGCAAAATACTTTTTTGATTTTAATGGTTATATTTTTAGTGAAATAAATAAAAAACGGTGGGTAAAATTTTGATCTTTTCGCGGCGTGGCAAACTGTTTTTGTTTGTTGTGTAGCACATTCCACACAACAAAGTCCAAGTTTAACTTCCATTGGTGAACTTCAACCCAATCCTGTAAAAAGTCCAAATGAAAATGAAAAGAACCAAGAAGACGAATTACAAAATCCATTTCATTTTCATATATTAAAAATTGATATATGTACAGATAAAAATTAACATATGGTGACGACTACATGCGGTGGTTTTGGCGGTTTCTGAATCTCTTCTGCCGTGATCTTTTCCTGTCTCGGTGGTTCACATGGGCACGGCATTGCTATGAACCTCGCGAACTGATCTCCAGCCATTATCACCGGTAAACTCCGATCACAATCTTGCTTCTTTTCCTGTTTCAGCAAATAATTATAAGAAATTTCAACAATATTGTTTGACAGAGAGGATTAATTAATCGTGGATTAATTGGCCAAACAACCTCGATTAGGTGCTTGATTTGAGATCAGATCGGAATTGAATTACATACCGAGTACGAAGGTTTAGGTTTAGAACCGGAGTGATGTTGACTGTCGTCTGAATCAGGATCGGCGTCGGAGAAATCACCGCGGAGGTGACGAAGCTTGTCCCAATGGTAACAACATGAGAAGATACCGCTGAGGCTGAAAACGACAATCAGGAGCAAAGCAGTGCCGAGTGGAAAACCTATAGTGGGGCGAGACGAACCGTGATGTTGCTGCGGTGGCGCGTAGTAAGGAGGCGCCTCCATTGATTAATTAGCTTCGGTAGTCGTACAAGTGAAGATGGAACGATGAAATATGGTGATGATGTTGAGTTGTTCGACCTCCAACTGGTTTCATGAGAGGCAACAATGGCGTTATGTGGTATCTCTGCGCCTAGTAAGACACAGACAGAGGAGGAATTGAATTGGTGGGGTGGGGTGGGGTGGGGTGGGGTGGGGTGGGGTGAGAAGGAATGGAGGGTAGGGGGAGGTTATATAGGAAGGTGGGAGTGGGCATTACGTTTACATGGAAATGGTACAGCTGTTCGTCCCCGGCTGCGTACGGAGGGAGGCGATTTTGGTAAGGGTGGTAGGGCCTTCATTTTGAAATTTCAGAATATATAAATTCACCGATCTCTTTTATAATCAATTTCTAATTTCTAATTTTCTATATACATTATTTTATGAAAAACATAATATATATGAAATTTTTAATGATAGTTTTTTTTTTTTAAAAACGTTTTTACTATTTTAAAAAGCTTTTGAATAGCTTCTAAAACTGGAAGCTAAAAGTTAATTTTGAAATTTCTTTTAAACAACTTTATTTTTTATTATTATTATTATTATTATTATTATTATTATTATTATTATTATTATTATTATTATTATTATTATTTACTTATACAAGTTATTATTATTATTATTATTTAATTATACAATTTATTTTAAACGGTGGTACGTATACTTGGATATTATTTTTATTTTATATATATATATATATATATATATATTATATATATATATATATATATATATATATATATATAATATTTTGATAAAAAATATATCATAAAAAATAATTGTCAAATTTTTGAAAAAATAGTAAATATTACAAAGATTAGATAACATTACTCTAAGTCTGAAATGTATGATAATTCGGCGATTGTAAATATAGAAGCTTAAAAGGAGATTTTTCGGTTAGAGTTTGGGTGGGTAGGCGATTGATGATGTAGACAACAGAAAAGAAAGCATCCACCTAGTATGAGGATGGTAATCGAGCATTAAACATCATATCTCATCCCATCTCGACAACATGTCTTTGTTCCGCCCGACCATTCTGTTGTTGTGTATATAGATAAGACAACTTGTGGAATATGCCATTGTTTTTAAATAAGGTCTGAACTTTATGATTTACAAATTTTGTTCCATCGTCACTTTGAAAAACTTTAATTTTTGATGAAAACTAGGTTTGGACAAATTGCATGAAAACCTCCAAAGCAGTGTACACATCAGGTTTTAGTTTTAATGGGTAAAGCCAACTAAAGCGGGAAAATCATTGATGAAAATGACATAATATCGGTAATTATCGACCGATATAACCGGGGAAGGTCCTCATACATCACAATGAACAAGATCTAAGGGATGCAAAGCCCATTTTGAGTTGAGATCAAAAGGTAATCGTTGGCTCTTAACCAACTGACATGATAAACAAACATCTAGTTTAGGTAAAAGTGAAGTTACAGATAAATATCCTATTTTTTTTTTTTTAAAGCAACAAGAGTATCAAAAGATGCATGACTCAACCGGGAATGCCAAACTTCAAAAGAGGCCTCGGGCAGCGTAGAGGAAGCACAAAGAGCATGAGAACTTGGTTACAAAACATAAAGCGCGTCATCACATTTTCCTTGGGCTAGCACCTGCTTTGTGTGGCGATCCTGAATAAAAAATTAAGGGTAAGAGAGAAGAATATCCACATGGTTGTCTTTGGTGAGTTTACTAATGGACAACAGGTTTTTGGTGATATGAGGAACAACCAAAACATCCTTTAATAATAAATTAGGTGTAAGGTTACCACGAACTTTAGTAGAGATTAGGAGGTGTTGGCCATTCCAAAAGGTAACTAAAGCAGTACCTGGAAGGGAATAAGTGTTGGAGATGGTCTCAGAAGATGCAGTCATGTAGTCCATGGTACTCAGGCCTAGAAGATGAAACATATCATTGAGATAGGAAAGCAAAAGCCAATGTATCATTAGATGGGTTGGCTTGAGAGGCATAAGATGCAAGTTTAGGGCAAGCGGAGGCATAATGGACATTTTTACGACAGAGCTAGCAATGGGGATGTCGACAACCACGACCCCGACCGCCAGAGGAGGCCGAACCGCAAGAGGAAGATCGACCCCCCCTTCCCCCGAGTAAACGACGATGCAGCAGCATAGAAGGTGACAAATGGAGGGAAGGTTCCATGAAGAGCCTATAAGAATAGTTCATGTCTTTCTGGTCGGACAAGCAAGTCAGCAAAGGCAGGAGCAGTGCAAGAAGAGCGGACAACCATGGACAATGTATCAAAAGTCGACCCAAGGCCACAAATGAACTCGTGAAGTTGATCATTAGAATCAACCGGATGACTGATAGCAGATACGTGATCACATAGCCCTTTAAAATGGTGATCGTATTCAACCACATATTTTGAGCCTTTGAGAGATTGACTGAGTTGATCTCGCAAATTGTGAACCCGTTCGATAGAAGAATTACCGAACACAGCTTCCAAGGCAACCCATATTTCACGAGTTGTGGAGAGACCAATAATTACTGAATTGGCTTCTTCTGATATAGGTGCATGAAAGAGAATGATGGTTTTTTTTTATTATCAGTAAGCCACGTAGTATAAGCGGAATTGTCGGTTGATTTTCCGTAAGGCTAAAAGAGATGTGAGGGAGGCACTGTGACAGATCCATCCACATAACGAAATAGGTTTTGATAAGATTAGATGGGTTCCATTTGGTTTTTCCACAATAGGTAATTAGTGGAAGAAAGTTTGATAGTAAGCATATGGATGAGGGTATTAAGGGGAATAACACCTTTCATCGAGGAACAAGACATGGAGGAGAGGAGAAGAACAGGTGGGAGATGAAGGTGGGGAAATCAACCAATTAAGTCGATACCATGTGTAATATTTATTCTGAATGAATCATATACAAACATTACAAAAAAATATATATATATATAGGTACAACAGCGGAAAAGGAAAAGACTTATAATAAAGAACTATAAATGAGGTAATTTAATACATTTTATTTAATATATTTTTTAAATTAAAATATTTATATCAATCAATATCATTTTTTTAAAATTATGAAGTATACTTAAAATTTGAAAATTACAAAGGATAGTTTACTTTAGACCATATCTAACACATCTTTATTTTTTATTCTTTTTTTTCCCCCAAAAAATATATTCTTAGTATATTTCATTTTTCTAACTTACATAGATTATCAAATATACCCTTCTATTAATTTGGTTTTAACATAAATTATATATATATATATATATATATATATATATATATATATATATATATATATATATATAATTTACATTTTTTTTCAACAATAATATTAAATAAATAAGATATATGTTAATTATAAACTTTTGTAAATACGCTATTGTGTTTCATAATTTTAATATGTATTAAAAAATTTAAATTATTCCGATGAATAAAAATAAAATTTATATTTATGATTAATTAATTTATTATATAAAAAATATTATAAATATTAAATATTATATTTAAATTAAAACTAATTGATAAAACAAACTAAAACTATATAAATATATAAAAATAATTACTAAACCCAACAAGTAAAACTTCATATTCATACCGGAAGAAATGAATAATATTATTCTATATTTTGACTAACAAAGAATGAAATAAACTTGGAAAAAAAATGAAAAAACAAGTGAGTTTGATACTCCCTTATATAACAATTTTTTTAGGAGAGTAGAAAAACTTTATTCATTGGTATGAATTTATAACGATAACTTTTTGATCAATTAATGTTTAGACTATCTCCAACTCACTTCCATTTTTCCCTAAAAATGAAGTAAAAAATGAAGTAAATAGTGTTTTATCTCCAACCATACTCCATTTTTTACCCTATTTTAGCCCCAAAAAATATATTTCATTCTTATATCTTATAGAAATTGTTAAACACGCCCCTTCTATTAGTGTTGTTTTAACAAAAGTATAATCTATATTTTTTCATTGCAATAATATTAAATAAATAATATTATATTTATAATGCATAATTATAAGTTTTTGTAAAAGACATTATTGCGTTTTAAATTTTCAAATATGTATTTAAATTTTAATATGAATTTGTTAAACAAAAAACAAACTTTATATTTATAATTAATTAATATAATTTAATATATATCACAATATTATAAGTATTAAATATTACATTTAAATAATAATTAATGGATAAAAACACCAAAAATGTATAAACATATAAAACGATGGAGTAAAACCGACAATCAAAAGTTCATCTCCATTTTGAGGAAAATGAATAGCATAACATCAAATATGGTGTTATATTATTCATTTCCCCTAAAATGAGAGGGATAAATGGAATAGAGTTAGAGATGAATGGGGGAAGAAATAAAAGAAAAAAAAATGAAAAATAAGATCATAAGTGGATTGGAGATGCTTTTAATTAAAATATAACTTTACAAATTTATTTAAATAATAATAATAATATTATTATTATTATTATTATTATTATTATTATTATTATTATTATGCTAACCATTATAGGAGTCATAGAGCAACACTAGTTAATCTTTCAAAAGATTTTTACTATTATTCTATCAAATTTTCGTTGCTTTTATTTAATAAAAGTGTTTTTTTTTTTTTCATAAATCATCTTAAATAATTACCGTTCATTTATAAATTAATTAATTTATCATTTATGCATCTTAAATGTTTTATAAAACTTTTCATATAATCTTTTTTTTTTTTTCAATCATATGATATACTAGGTAAAAACACGCATAACCTATGAGTATAACCTATGAGTATTAGTTTTAAATAGAATTTAAAACTTAATTATGTAATAAAATATTATATATTAATTTATAAAACTTATGAATTGTAATATTATATTTTTGATAACTTTTTTTTTAAGTAATTTATTACACAGTGAGATTTTATTTTTTTATTTATTATTAGCAACATTACTTGGCATTACAATACAACAAAATAAAAACAA